AGGGAGTAAGCTATGATGCACAAATCATCGTGGCATCAACTTGCTGAGTTGTGTGGGCAAGGTGATTGCCCGAATCCCGCTTAACCGCTTCGTCAGTCAGGTTTTGGAACCTAACGTCGCAAAAGAGCAGCGTGGATTCCGTTCGGGTAGCAGCACTATAGACGGCGTACAAATCCTGCTGCCGTCCGTCTTTCTATAGAGCAGTGAAACATGTACGACGTACCAGCGACATGTGAGCTATCTCGAGCGGTTCCATCAACAGTGTGTTTGCGACGGATTTTGCGCATTGGTTGCAGATACGGAAGTGTTGCGTCGAAGTGGAATGTATGCAGTGGACTGCATACATATGCTGACATCTGAGGCGGCTCGGTCATGTGTGGCGTATGGATTCGACGCGGATACCGAAGCAGCTGTTATCTCGTCAGCTGAGTGTTGGGAAGCGACATTTGGGGAAACGGAAGCTTCGTTAACAGGATATGATCAAAGTGGACCTCATGTTCTAAGCATGATTGCAGGTCATGGGAATCGAAGGCGGTAGATCGGCGTGCATAGCGCGATCTGATCAGGAAGGATGTTGCTGAAGTGCAAGAAAGCCCTCGTGAACGCAGAGAAGAAGCGGCAGGCGCCGATGGGTTGTACTCCATCGACATCGAGCGCATGATTCTGTAGCACATACGGTCGCGAGTACCTGAGTCAGGTAGGTCTAGTGAGCCACGAGCGAGGCCAATCGGGGCCAACACCGAAACGACAACGGGTCCTGCAGAGAAATTAGGCAGAACCGGTGGAGCGTTTGTGGGTACGTTGCATTCGATGTATTAACCGCTTGCTTGCATGCTGAGTTTCTGTATTTCAGGTGGTGGGTTTGCTATTTTGTCTCCTTAATGCCTACCTGAACTATTTTCCATAAACTTGCACACGTCGCTCAAGTCGATTGTAGTTAGCTTAGTTAAAATTTTCCCGTTTGTGACATTTTCTTAAAATATATTTTCTGACGTCTTGAACGTATAGCGTTTCTTGGCAACCAATTTATTTCATATGCTCATATGTTGTGCCCCATGCTGAGGCTGATGTTGCATTCATGATGCTTCTTCACCGCAGTTGACCTAAAGCAACTTACACTTAAACTAAGTCTTTTAAGCTGGATGAATTTCATTCCACTTTATTTGGTTTGTTCTGCCTCCCTGAGTAATCTATTAACCTGTACACGTTGTTTATGCTAAATTGTGGTTATCTTCCATAACTATACTGCGTTCGTAGAATTTCCTGAGTTACCTCTGGACATTTCGTATTTATCGCGGATTCCTTTCTAACCAACTTACTTCATATGATAATTTAGTAAAGAGTCAGGTCGGCATAGCCATATGCTTTAACAGATATATTTTATTTGGTAACTTCATTTTACGTGATTGACTGTTGTTTGATAATCCCGGTGAGGCTGCGCTTGATGTGCATGTTGACAAGGTGCCTACCTGTCCATTACCCACTACCTCGTCCATACTGGCTCCAGGAGACAGTTGGTCGTTGCTGGAGGGGACAGGGTGCACGGTCCTTGTGGCCGTGCTAGGCTCGAAGAGTGGTTCCATGCACTCAGTGTGCAGCGGACTACGGTCCAACCACCGCCTTGTGTGCGCTTGATTCCCCAAATAGAGCGTGCTTGTGTTTGCCTGTGAAGGAGTGTGGGCCGGCTGCGTTGATGAAACGTGGCTCCCATCCACATGCCTCCCGATCTTATTCCTTCGGGTTTACACTGGATATGGGGTGTCTGGTTGGAGCTGTGGGTGGTGCAGCGCAAGCTACCCATGGTCCCTCTGTAGACGCAAGCGTCCTGTGGCTGGCCACGGTGACAGGCAAATCCGATACCGGATGCCGCCAACCAAGTGCTCTCTGTGTTTCATAAGCGTCAGTGTTTCGGCAAGACACATCTTCATCTTTTGCTGTTGCAGCACGTGCAACGTAGCCCAGTTGAACTCCAAACGGTTATTCAAGAAACAGCCGAAGTGCGTTCGCTAGATCTGCATTATGTCTGCAGTCTGTGGATCAGTAGCGCTTGAACTATCATCCACCAGCGTTAACAGTTACTGCAACGTGGGTCTATACACCGCATTCAAGGAGTCAAAGTATTCCTTATATTCGCGGCACGCGGCATAGCCTTTTATATGCTCTGCGTTCTCCGTAGACCGTGCATTCTTCATACGACGGAGCTCACAAGTCAATCTCCGTCAAAGTTTACGAAACTGACTTTTCGTCTCGGAGTCGGCAGGATCACCGACATGTGCATTCACATGCTGCATTCCTCTACGATACCAGAGCGTCAATCGTCGCATTGTTGAACCAAACCAATCGGGCCGCTAACAGTTTGCGTGTCTCATCGTCTCATCAGCCGCAGCCGTCATTTGTTCTCGGATGTGCTGCCACAGGTCGACGACTGAGGCGATAGATTCGACATCGCCTATGCACCAACCCCATGCAGCTTGCCTTAGTCAGCGAGTCGAGTCTCAATGAGTGAGGCCCGGTCGATCCCGTAGCGCGCAAGTTCCATCGCGACCGGTGCGGTGCGTCGTTCTGGTCGCTCCCTTGTAATCCGATAAAGCAGAGCGCACATGTTTCAGCAACCGATGTTGATCGCTTTGCGTGAAGGCATACGATTGCACTGAGCGGTCCCTTGTGCAGCGACCTAGATTGGAGGAAGTAGGGGGATCAAGTAAAATGGGGACATGGAATGTGCAGGGGAAGAATGAAGGAGGGAAACGTCAGCGGTATGCAGCAGATGGTCCTTTTCGACCTCGGACCACTGCGCAATGTCAGATGCAGCATAGAATTGTCAGCATTTGTGCATTTCATGGTTTGCTATTCGACTGATCTACTTCTAGGACTTCACGCCAGAACAAAAGAATGACTCGTGTCAGTTGCCAGAGCCTCCGATAAAATGTATTTATGAAGATCAGCGGGCAAAGTGGCATTAGCCAGTGAACCGACTCACGTGGAATTGCATCATAGGAATAGACTAAATCAAGCAGGCGGTCGCCATCGGAAGGCGGCCAGGACGTGAGCCCGCGGCACCAGATTGGAAGCAGCGGTTGGACGATCTGTCAGAATCTCGCAACTGCAAGCCTCAGGAAACCATTATATATATATATATATATATATATATATATATATATATATATATATATATATATATATATATATATATATATATATCCAGTGTAAATCCGAAGGAATAAGACCAGGAGGAATGTGGATGGGAGTCACGTTTAATCAACGGAGCCGGCTAACTCTTTTAACATTCACATCAGCAGCATTCCGGCCAATTTATGCGGGGAGTCAGGCGTATCAGACGTATACAAGGCGGTGGCTGGACCGTAGTCAGCCCCACTCTTTAAGCCTAGCATGGCCACCAGGACCGTGCACCTCGTGCCCCCAGTAACGTTTCACAGTTTCCTAGAGCCAGTAATCGAGGTGGAGAGTGTTAAACAGGCAGGCAACTTGCACGATTCAAACCATGCGCAGCCCCACCACGGATGTGAAGCAACAACCAAACACTTGAAATGTAAATATCAAACATAATCTATCGAAAGAAAGCATACTGATATGTCGATATAACTCTTCGCTAAATGAGCATATGAAATAAATAGGTTGTCAAGGAATCAGCGATAAAGTTAAGATATCAGAAAAAGATCAAAAAACAAGAAACAAAAGCAAAAAATTAACCAAGTTAACTATCTTTCGGTTATTCAGGTTAACATGAAAATGAAGTTACGAAATAAGCATTAAGACAATATAAGAAACCAGGCACCGAAATGAAGAAACTCAGCACCCAAGCACGCGGCTAGTAAGACCAAATGGAAGCGCATGTGGCGTACCTACGTACGCTGCGCCGATTCCGCTTAGGGTCTCAGAAGGACTCGTCGACTTTTCGTTGCCGGTCCCGAGTGGCCTCGCTCATGGCTCACTAGGCCTGCCTGACTCAGGCACTCGCGACCGCATGTGTCACAGCACCACGCGCTCGCTGTCGATGGAGTACAACCCATCGGCACCCATCGCTTGCGCATCTGCCGCTCCTTCTGCGCATAGACGCGGGCATTCTCCTTCACTTCGGCAACGGCCTTCCTGATCAAATCGCGCCATGCACGCCGATCAACCGCCTTCGATTCCCAACATCTGAAATCTATATTAGAACGTGATAG